ATTGGTTAGTCTCTAAGGTGCCACAAGTACTCCTTTTCTTTTTGCAAACTGTGAAGGACACTTATTTTTTCCCTCAGTCCTACTGCTTTAAATCCACTTGTCGGAATGATATCAAATTAGGTTAAAAACTACTGGCTGCTGGCCACAAAACACACATACGAGTAAAAGTATTTTTACTGGGAATTTTACAGTGTGTGTGTTGGGGGGTGGACACTGAGCTTTCCGTGGAAAAATGCACATAATTGGGCTTTCCGCCTTATCTACGGAACAGCTGCTATAATTAAATAAGTGGCTACCAAATCATGGCACTGTGTGTATGTGTGTGTATTTAGAAAAGCTGGACGAGCACAAGTCCATGGGGCCGGATGTGTTGCATCCGAGAGTGCTAAAGGAGTTGGCGGATGTGATTGCAGAGCCATTGGCCATTATCTTTGAAAACTCATGGTGATCGGGGGAGGTCCCAGATGATTGGAAAAAGGCTAATGTAGTGCCCATCTTTAAAAAAGGGAAGAAGGAGGATCCTGGGAACTACAGGCCAGTCAGCCTCACCTCAGTCCCTGGAAAAATCATGGAGCAGGTCCTCAAGGAATCAACTCTGAAGCACTTAGAGGAGAGGAAAGTGATCAGGAACAGTCAGCATGGATTCACCGAGGGCAAGTCATGCCTGACTAATCTAATTGCCTTCTATGATGGGATAACTGGCTCTGTGGATGAAGGGAAAGCAGTGGACGTGTTGTTCCTTGACTTTAGCAAAGCTTTTGACACGGACTCCCACAGTATTCTTGCCAGCAAGTTAAAGAAGTATGGGCTGGATGAATGGACTATAAGGTGGATAGAAAGCTGGCTAGATTGTCGGGCTCAACGGGTAGTGATCAATGGCTCCATGTCTAGCTGGCAGCCGGTATCAAGTGGAGTGCCCCACGGGTCGGTCCTGGGGCCGGTTTTGTTCAATATCTTCATAAATGATCTGGGGGATGGTGTAGATTGCACCCTCAGCAAGTTTGCAGATGACACTAAACTGGAAGGAGTGGTAGATACGCTGGAGGGTAGGGATAGGATACAGAGGGACCTAGACAAATTGGAGGATTGGGCCAAAAGAAATCTGATGAGGTTCAACAAGGACAAGTGCAGAGTCCTTTACTTAGGACGGAAGAATCCAATGCACCACTACAGACTAGGGACCGAATGGCTTGGCAGCAGTTCTGCAGAAAAGGACCTAGGGGTTACAGTGGACGAGAAGTTGGATATGAGTCAACAGTGTGCCCTTGTTGCCAAGAAGGCCAATGGCATTTTGGGATGTATAAGTAGGGACATCGCCAGCAGATCGAGGGACGTGATCGTTCCCCTCTATTCGACATTGGTGAGGCCTCATCTGGAGTACTGTGTCCAGTTTTGGGCCCCACACTACAAGAAGGATGTGGAAAAATTGGAAAGAGTCCAGCGGAGGGCAACAAAAATGATGAGGGAACTGGAACACATGACTTATGAGGAGAGGCTGAGGGAACTGGGGATGTTTAGTCTTCAGAAGAGAAGAATGAGGGGGGATTTGATAGCTGCTTTCAACTACCTGAAAGGGGGTTCCAAAGAGGATGGCTCTAGACTGTTCTCAGTGGTAGCAGATGACAGAACAAGGAGTAATGGTCTCAAATTCCATTGGGGGAGATTTAGGTTGGATATTGGGAAAAACTTTTTCACTACGAGGGTGGTGAAACACTGGAATGTGTTATCTAGGGAGGTGGTGGAATCTCCTTCCCTAGAAGTTTTTAAGGTCAGGCTTGACAAAGCCCTGGCTGGGATGATTTAGTCGGGGATCGGCCCTGCTTTGAGCAGGGGGTTGGACTAGATGACCTCCTGAGGTCCCTTCCAACCCTGAGATTCTATGATTCTGTGATACGTGTGTGTATAAAATATAAACAGACTATTATTATGGCATAACTTTCAGAGTACTATGGATTTGTATTATGTTAATCATTAATAATATGCAGCGCTTTACAAAAACCTAAACGCGCAAAGTCCCTGCGCAATAAATTAATAAATAAATAAATACATCCTCTCAAATTCCTATTATTGTGCTACATTAGCTCTCTTTGCTTTGCCTATCCCATTAATACCACAATTAATACTTCAGAATTTGGCTTTGAAAAATCAACACTGGAAAAAAGTCAGAAATTGGCAAGGTTCATTTAAGGCATTTCAGACAGGTTCACCTCTTGTTCATGCTGCTGGCTATAAATAACAGTCCATTTCTCTCCCTGTTCATGTTCTCTTCGCATTTCAGTTCTTGTCACAGACAAGGTAAGTGTCACAATAACCTGTAACAGTCAATGTTGATGAGAAAAGGTGAAAATAGGAGACAAAAAGACAAACAAAAAGATCTACTGATATAACTCAAGCACTGCTAAAATCATGGCTGATAAACAAAAGACGTGTGGGACTGGAAATTAGTGAACCAAAATTGGTGTGTCGGAAATTTAGGCCTTTGGTGGACACAGTAATGAGGGGATGGGCTATTTCACCAATCACTCCCTTTTGGGGTATGTAAAAATAAAAGAAGAGACTTTGAGGGGAAAATATAGACAGACGGATGGAAATGCTGGCTGATTGAAAGAAGGGGAAGGAGCAAGCTTCACCACCATGGCTGCCACCCCCACCATCTCCCGGGGAAACTGGAGGACCTTTGTCATCCTGATCCTGAAAGATGGCCTGACGAGACAGAGCCAAGAGAGAGGCACCCAGATGGCATTTCCACCTCCACCAGCCCCGACTAAATCCTTTCTACCGCCCGGGATGTAAGGCTTCGTCATATACCCCTCCACTCACCCCATGTGTCCTTTTCCTTCCCCCATCTTATTTCTCTCTTTCCGGTCCCTCTCCTTTTTCCTTCAGTCTAATAAGAGTCTGGCTTAGCCAGCCAAATCTGTGTATTTCGCAACCCTGCTGCAAGCCTATGACCAACGAGGAAACTTTGAAAGCAGTGCCCTGAGCAGCCCGATACTGGCCCAAGTTTACGCAAGTTCAGAGTGGCTAATGAGACAATGTGCTGGGCCTGTGTTTTTCCAGCAGTGAGGTGGCAACTGAGAATCAACACCAGAGAGAGAAGCTGCATTTTCTACTTGTGCTGTTCATTTCTTTCGCCTGTTGTGTGCGATTGCCTTGTCGGTTAGGAAACAGTATTGAATTCTAACAACAACAGCTCCAGTCCATTTCAGTTCACTTCTTCTCTTTTCCCCAAGAGGACTGTTATTGCCAGCTTTAGTACCATCTAAGAGTCTGTGAAATGGCAGGGGGGGTTCATTCTAAAGCCTCTCTCCAGCTAAAGGAAAAGGGAACAAGGGATGCTGTTAAAATCGGAGGCTTCCTTAATACTTTACATTTCAAATTCTTGAATTGTTTCCCCTTCTTTTTTCTCAAAAAGAAAAGGAGTACTTGTGGCACCGTAGAGACTAACCAATTTATTTGAGCATAAGCTTTCGTGAGCTACAGCTCACTTCATCGGATGCATACTGTGGAAACTGCAGAAGACATTATATACACAGAGACCATGAAACAATACCTCCTCCCACCCCATTCTCCTGCTGGTAATAGCCCATCCAAAGTGACCACTCTCTTTACAATGTGTATGATAATCAAGGTGGGCCATTTCCAGCACAAATCCAGGTTTTCTCACCTGGATTTCTCAGGGTGAGAAAACCTGGATTTGTGCTGGAAATGGCCCACCTTGATTATCATACACATTGTAAAGAGAGTGGTCACTTTGGATGGGCTATTACCAGCAGGAGAGTGAGTTTGTGTGTGTGTGTGGGGGGGGGGGGGGCGGAGGGTGAGAAAACCTGGATTTGTGCTGGAAATGGCCCAACTTGATTATCATACACATTGTAAGGAGAGTGATCACTTTAGATAAGCTATTACCAACAGGAGAGTGGGGTGGGAGGAGGTATTGTTTCATGGTCTCTGTGTATATAATGTCTTCTGCAGTTTCCACAGTATGCATCCGATGAAGTGAGCTGTAGCTCACGAAAGCTTATGCTCAAATAAATTGGTTAGTCTCTAAGGTGCCACAAGTACTCCTTTTCTTTTTGCGAATACAGACTAACACGGCTGTTACTCTGAAACCTTCTTTTTTCTGTATCTTTAAAAAAGGGTGACAAAGATTTTTACTGGTGTGTTTGCCATGGTACTAAGCAGGCTGAGGTCTCTGTGTAACAAGACCTTGTTTAAAACTGCGTAAGTCTGGACAGTGACAGGGTGATGTTAACACCTTTGACTCTTTGGGCCCATTTATTCCATCTAACGTAATACAACCGGTGTAAATAACACATGAGATTGCTTGGTTTTCTTTTAGCTTTTAGGGTTTTTTCACTGCTAATGAAACAGCCAATTTCTGCTCACATGTAAATCATAATTCATATAAAGCTGAAAAAAAGGTTTTTCTAGGATTGTGCAAGTCAGTAACGCCTGGGAATGAGTGTGAGGAGAGTTGATTCAGCAATCCTTATGTTGATGACTTCAGTGGGGCTACTCTTTGAAGTAAAGGTTTGTCTGCCTGGGGAGTTATTCTGGACTAGATGTTCCTGCTTAACTATTCCTGATTAACTCCATGTGTTGTTCTAGAATAAGAGTGCCTTATTCAAAATTAATTTAATCCATTTTGGCATCCACACATGGAGTTAATCAGGAATAATTAATCCACTTTGAATTTACATGCTAATTTATTCCAGATTATTTTTTATGTGTAGACAAGACCTGAGAGCTGCATAATTGAAACCTAAAGTAGTCAAGAATAAGCCCTGAAATTTTGTGAAAATTTGTGGAAACCAGAATCCCTTGTTACAATGAACCTCACTTAGTACAGATATGTGTTCTAAAAATAATGCTCAGTATTCTGAAGTCTTGTATATTGTCCCAAAATGCAGGGCACTAAACTTTTAGTGAAGTCCATTGGACTGAGGGGTGGATTGAGTTGTTTAACAATAATCACAAACTCTGTTTCTGTTCTGCAGGCTTTAAATAGTTATAGTCGAGGAGACATAGAAGGATCAAGAAGACTGGGTCGCAATGCACTCTGGGTTGCTGTTGCATCAATCATGATTGGCCTTCTGATTATTGGGATCTATTGCGTAGTTCACTTCACAACGGTAAGCAAAGTTTGGTCATTTCCAATACAAGTAGCTCTTCCTTGAACAAGAGCTTCATTATAAGAGATTGACAACTATGACAGACTGATACTATTCATAGTGTTGTGTTATAATTCAAGCGTTCACTCTCATTAACTAAAAGAGCAATTTTTGCATTATTTCTTATTTAGAAGTAAAAGGAGGTAGTGTTGTCTGGTGGTTAGAGCAGAGGACTGACTGACTAGGCATACTGGGATCTCCTCCAGCCTTTGCAACTCACTGACTGTGTACCTTGGGAAAGTCACTTATTGCTCTATTCCTCAGTTTCCCTACCTGTAAAATGAAGTGTATGGATCTCCTCAGATGCAAAATTCTAGTGTGTATAAATACCAAATTTCAGGATCAGAAAAGAGACACAGGATCTATTGTAACATTGCCAAACAGGAGAAGAGATGTGATTACTGATTCATTTTTTGGTATTAACTAGCAATAATCATGCCAAAAAGCAACCTCCTGATTCTCATTGCCTTGCTATTTGTGAAAGTTGTCCACACACAGTGCTATGTACATATGATCAGATTTTATCTTTTTTTGTAGCCCTGGAGGAGAAACAAGTGCTTTTTTGTTTCTCTAAAATGATTTATCAGAGGACACGTTGATAATGAAAACAGGACAAAAATAATTAGGACAACAATATATTCTCTTCAGGCTGTGCAATATGTTCTTTTCTCTTTAGCAATGTGCATTCCACACAGTTAAATCCATTTATTAGCATCTAACCTCTACAGAACCCCTTCCTTCCCTATAGCGTCCAAAATGCTTTACAATCTAATGTACAACATGTAAAGAGAGAGCACCTCAGCCACCATTGAAATGCAGCCATCTCTGGGGCGTGGAATGCCGTGGCTGTTTAACAGTGCACAACCGCTTCAGACAGAACAATGACTTCAGGGACAAGTTAAAGAAATAGGCTGCAATTACATAGGAGGCTGGACACAGCACACCTATGTTTATGAAAAGTGCCATGAGGTCAGGGACTTAGCTGTCTAGCTCACTGGAAGTAGAGAACCTCCAGTAGCACAGTGCCCTTTAGCAGTGTGCCAAGATATTGATTCTTGTACTGACTCAAAGCCAAGAGTTTCCTTAGAGGTCTCCTGTCCAAATAGTAGCCCAATCTTGCCTTGCTTTGCTTGAAATCTGATAGGATCACAGACCAAGGCGGTAGGGTTCACTGGGCTCCCCCGCTCTCTTACTGCCCAGCCTCTCCATTTCTTTTCCTTCTCTCGTTCATCTCTGAGGAATCCTTTGACTGGGGCAGTAGCTCTCCCTCTTCTTGTGTAATGAGAATGTGCAAACAGGCGCACCCAACTGACTTTTTCCGATATCTGCGTGATATGCCACTTTTTCTTCATGAGCTCTCATGGGGTAAGAGGGAAGGTCCTCTCATGGATTGGTAACTGATTAAAAGATAGGAAACAAAGGGTAGGTAAATAAATGGTCAGTTTTCAGAATGGAGAGAGGTAAATAGTGGTGTCACACAGGGGTCTGTACTGGGCCCAATCCTATTCAACATATTCATAAGAGATCTGGAAAAAGGGGTGTCAAGGTTCCTTCCCCACTCTGAACTCTAGGGTACAGATGTGGGGACCTGCATGAAAGACCCCCTAAGCTTATTCTTACCAGCTTAGGTTAAAAACTTCCCCAAGTTTTTAACCTAAGTTAACAAACTTTGCCTTGGCCTTGAACCGTATGCTGCCACCACCAAGTGTTTTAAACAAAGAACGGGGAAAGAGCCCACTTGGAGATGTCTTCCCCCAAAATATCCCCCCAAGCCCTATACCCCCTTTCCTGGGGAAAGCTTGATGATAATCCTTACCAATTGGTACAGGTGAACACAGACCCAAACCCTTGGATCTTAAGAAGAATGAAAAATCAATCAGGTTCTTAAAAGAAGAATTTTAATTAAAGAAAAGGTAAAAGAATCACCTCTGTAAAATCAGGATGGTAAATACCTTCCAGGGTAATCAGATTCAAAACATAGAGAATCCCTTTAGGCAAAACCTTAAGTTACAAAAAGACTCAAAAACAGGAATATACATTCCCTCCAGCACAGCTTATTTTACCAGCCATTAAACAAAAGACAATCTAACACATTTTCTAGCTAGATTACTTACTCACTTTACAGGAGTTGTAAGGCTGCATACCTGATCTGTTCCCGGCAAAAGCATCACACAGAACAAACCATTTGTCCCCCACCCCGATTTGAAAGTATCTTGTCCCCTCATTGGTCATTTTGGGTCAGGTGTCAACGAGGTTACCGTTGCTTCTTAACCCTTTACAGGTGAAAGGGTTTTGTCTCTGGTCAGGAGGAATTTTATAGCACTGTATACAGAAAGGTGGTTACCCTTCCCTTTATTTTTATGACAAGGGGTAAACTGTGAGGTGGCAAAATTTGCAGATGATACAAAACTAGTCAAGATAGTTAAGTCCCAGGTACACTGCGAAGAGCTACAAAAGGATCTCTCAGAACTGGATGACTGGGCAACAAAATGGCAGATGAAATTTAATGTTGATAAATGCAAAGTAGTGCACATTGGAAAACATTATCCCAACTATACATATAAAATGATGGGGTCTAAATTAGCTGTTACCACTCAAGAAAGAGATTTTGGGGTCATTGAGGATAGTTCTCTGAAAACATCCACTTAATGTGCAGCAGCAGTTTAAAAAAAAAAAGGGGGGGGGGGCAAACAGAATGTTAGGAATCATTAAGAAAGGGATAGATATCGTGATGCCTCTATATAAATCCATGGTACACCCACATCTTGAATACTGCATGCAGATGTGGTTGCCCCATCTCAAAAAAGATATATTGGACTGGGAAGAAGTACAGAAAAGCGCAACAAAAATGATTAGGGGTATGGAACAGCTGCCGTATGAGGAGAGACTAATAAGACTGGGACTTTTCAGCTTGGAAAAGAGACAACTAAGGGGAGATATAATAGAGGTCTATTAAATCCATGACTGGTGTGGAAAAAGTAAATAAGGAAGTGTTATTTACTCCTTCTCAGAACACAAGAACTCGGGGCTGCCAAATGGAATTAATAGGCAGCAAGTTTAAAACAAACAAAAGAAAGTATTTTTTTCACACAGTGCACAGTCAACCTGTGGAACTCCTTGCCAGAAGACGTTGTGAAGGCCAAGACTATAACAGGGTTCAAAAAAGAATTAGATAAATTCATAGAGGATAGGTCCATCAATGGCTATTAGCCAGGATGGGCAGGGATGGTGTCCCTAGCCTCTGTTTGCCAGCAGCTGGGAATGGGCGACGGGATGGATCACTTGATGATTGCCTGCTCTTTTCATTCCCTCTGGGGCATCTGGCATTGGTTACTGTTGGAAGACAGGATACTGGGCTAAATGGACCTTTGGTCTGACCCAGTATGGCCTTTCTTATGTTCTTCACTTCCCAGTCTTCATTTCCTAGTGTGAAAACCTCTAATCTCTCTCCAGTAGAAGTCTTCCTGTGCATCTACTAATTCTTGTTGCCTTTCTTTGGACCATTTCTATTTAACACTAAATGCTTTTCAAGATGAGGGTGCCCACAGTGTTTCAGTGGAGAGTGTAACATTGATATAAATAATGGCATTATAATATTCTCCATATTATCTGTCTCACTCTTAATCCATCCAAACACCTGGGGCCTGATTATCATTTACACGAGGGCCACTTTACATTGGTAGTGGAAAAGGACCTGTGTGGGAAAACTGCTTTTATACTGACTTTAAGGCCCCTTTACATTGGTGCAAAGTAGCCTGGTGTTTGCTTTATTTGACGACTGCTGCTGTGCGTGGAGTAGATGTATTCACTGAGCTGTGTACTATGACGTGTGTACTGTTTTTTTTCTGACAGGATATAGTGAATAGAAAAACCTGGACCAGCAGCATGTACAAGCAGCATTAACTTGTGTTTATCAACACTGAATTCCACCTGCTGTCATGTTATCCCATCATCAGTCATTGCTAGCTCCCTCTTAAGTTTCTCAGTCTTGTCAAGACTTAACTAGCCTAAATGATTTTGGTCACTGGTAAACTTTGCCCCCTTACAGTTCATCTCCTTTCCAGGTAACTAATAAAGATATTTAGTAACAAGTCTCATTATGGATCCTTTGGGCCACCCCACAATTAACCTCCTGGAAAATTCCTCCTCTTTGTTTATTGTTTGTAGGCAGTTTCCAACCCATTGCAGAATTTTACCTCTCCTCTCATGACTACGTGGTTTCTTGAAGAGCTTGCAGACGACTTCACTTGGGCGTTCATAAAGCTTCAATTAAATTATACCTGCCTCTTCTCCTTATCTACTGTTGTGCTGATTCCTTCAAAGAATTTGAACAGATTAAAGAGGCATGATTTTTCTTTACAAAAGCCAGGCTGATTTGTATGTTCAGCTCAGTGTTTTATAATTATTTCATTATTGCTTCATCCAATTTACTTGTTATTGACGTAATGGCTTAACTGACCTGTAATGCCCAGGATCATCCCTAGCATCTTTTTTAGGATGCATACAATATTTGCTGCTACTCTGGTCCAGTCGCTGATTTAATGAGTCCCTATTTTTGTTAGCAGCTCAGCCCCGTCATGCTTAAGTTCTTTCAGAATGCTTTGGATTAAGACCATCTGGTGACTTGCACTTTACAACTGAGATTTTCAAAGGACCCAAACTCCTTTTGAATTACACCTGTTTCCGTTAGGTCCCTTTCATAATCCCAGCCACTGTTAGCAGTTTGTTCCAGCATCTTCTCTTTTGGTCCCTCCGTCCCTAAATATAAACATGTGCTCAGTCCCGCAGGAGAGGAAGCAAGCCCTCTGACCAGTGGTTGGATCAGAATTGTAGGAAGGCTCCAGTGGTACACACACCAAGCCATCCTCGGCTGCCTGGAAACTCCTAGTAATTCAGGGCTGGGCTGTTGGGGGTAGTGATGGTAGCAGTGGCAGAGGGGGAAATGGGGGATGTTCCACCCTGACACAAAACAATGACGAGAATTGTACTTTCTGTTAACTGTAGGGCCCGCCTTAACTTCAACAGGGAAACAGGATTTGGTAGGTGTTCTTGGGATTCCCCTTGAATTTTCTAGCCAAGTCTGGCATTTCTGAACTGTGGAGTGAACAGGAATGGATTTGGAGTGACCACTGCTAGGGTTTGTCATTCTCTGTGACAGATTGAGGGCCTGCTAAGGCAATGTGCCTGCAGAATCAGGCTGCCTCTGGGCCCTAGAATTCTGTTCTCTCTGACAAGGGCCTTGTCTCTCCTGCAGATGAGCTCAAAGATCAGACACAGCTGGGAAGAACTAGAGCATGTGGCGAGGTCCGCTAGCAGCTTGCGTATCATAGGAACTGCCAAAGATTGTTCTGCGGCAGACTGAAAATAGATCAGGGGGACTGGTGGATTCAGAAGGGAGAAGAGCTCTTTATATTTCAGTGAGCTCCTACCCTCGGAGGAATCCTGCCCGTCTCTGCATAGCCGGAATAGTTTTATTCAACGCCTCTGGCGAGTCCTGAGGAACCAATCGGAGAGTTAGAGCAGTTGGGAGGCTGGCCCATGTACGGTGGGAAATGTCTAGTCTGTTTTCATGGTAAAGATTTACCAGGAGGCAGATACTGAGCCATGTTCTGGGCTTCTGCTCTGAGTGTCACCTGTACAAGTTGTTCACCTGTCTGTAAGGATAGCACTTTCTCTCTAGGGGGCTAAAATGGGGCTCACTACTCACTGCTGGGGTGCCTCCTTTTGTGGCTTGTCTGGGGACTAGCTCTCAACTGGTTTGAGGCCTCCTCCTTCAGTTGCTGGCCCCACAGTCTCTCCCTCTGGACTCAGGTTATTCCCTCTTCACCATTCGGTCCACCGGCCAAATCACATAGTCCTCCTATTCTGAGATGTCAAAGGCCACTGGCCCAACTGGCCTAGGCAATAGGGGAACCTGGGCCCACCCACCACCCTGGACTGCAGCCCAGGGACCCTACACCCAGCCACCACTATCTGCTCAAGGTCCAGTCTTGTTGCTGTTTCTCTGGTCTCTTTCCGACCTTTCTGCCCTATCATCTGGCCCACCTCTGGGTTACCACTGGAGCCTCCTCTGCTTCCCCCTCTCAGCTACTTGTCAGGGTCTGTAGTTTCCAGGGCTCACTCTCCACCTAGACCACCTCCTTGTACTGAGCCAACTCCCCATGCCTCTAGGGAGTGACAGCACAGCTCCTCCCTGCAGCCCTCCTCCTACCACCAACTTCCTCTCTTTATAAGCCTGTCCCAGCTCCTTCCCCAGCGGAGCTTCATCAGCCATTCGTCTTTACCAGTCACTAGCGCCCCTCCAGGTGCAGCCTGTAGATTAATGGGCCTATTTTAGCTGTCCAGGCCATGTGCAGGGTGGATACCCCATCACAAGGACATGTGGGAAACATCCATTTTAAGCTGGGAAATGACATCTGACAGAAAGGATGAGGCACAGCCTGGTTAAGGGAGTATGGCGTCCCTAGACATAATGTTCGGTAGGACACTGAGAGGCTAAAGCACCCCACAGTTTGGAGTTTCTAAACCACTGCTCCATCTGCCCAGTCATTAGTTTGGAACTGCGGTCACTTTAGCTGTGTTAATAGATTTCACAGCTAGTACATGTCGAATGAGACGTGTTTAGATTCCCCTTTAAATTTTGCGCGGAAATGTTGTTTCAAAATAAAACAAATGCACAAAGTGTTTAGATGACAAATCGTTAGCGGAGTACAGACTTAGCAGCACCAGCCTCAGAGGAAATAGATTCTTGTTTGGTTTAAATTGGATACTTTCAAAACAAGATGGATTTACTTTCTCAATTCACTGGGGCAACTCTGGAGAGTTGACAGTCTCGTTGGGCATAAATCCAATCCTCATCTGGTATAAATCAGCACAGCCCCATTGAAATCAGTGGATCTTACTCCACATTATACCAGCTGAGGATCAGGCCAAATGAGATTTTGAGTTTTGTTTCTATATTTGCACGATCGACTTTTTCACCAGTTGAACTAATTGTGCAAGGGTAAGACTCGACTATCTCAGTCGGTGCAAACTTTGGCATGTCCTTGTCTAGGCTTTGGAGCCAGTGCTAGCTGAACGACATTGACTACTGAAGCGGGGCTATTCCCAATGCAGACAAGGCCTGACAGAAGGTGTCAGATAAAGAAGGCCCTTCCTTGCTATACCTAGTCTCTCCTGTTAGTTTCCTTCCCTGTGTACACAACCCCTTCCACTCCTTCGGTATGTAACTGACACTCACACGGACTTGCTAAAATGTAACTTGAGCCACTGCTTACCTCACCACCAAGTTTAGCCCCAAGTGTGACGCGAAAGGCATTTTATCTAGGTGAAAAAAGCTGTGTTTGCCCTGCAGGAGCCAATACCCCCTAAGACCTAAACAGGGATCAGTTCCCTTCACTCCGCGTTAGGCCATCACTACGCCATAATGTGGTTCGTCAGAGTGAACGGGATGTGTGCCAATGTCGGACCTGCTCATCATGGGCCTGAGCTAACGTCCATTGCAGTTGACGAGTCTTTCCACCAACCTTAGAGGGATTTGGGTGAGGCCCCATGTCACCTGCTGGTGCGTGCAGCCTACCAAAGCTCTAATCTCTGCCCCAGCAATAGTGAATGGGGATTCTTCTTTGGTGCAGGGGACAGAGACCTGGATCTGTGGAGCAGAGGGTCTTACAGTTCTGTTCCTGCTGACAACCGTGCAGTCGAGGCAGCGACAGATTTCATTCCGGTCTCACTAGCCACAGTGAGGACCCAGACTCCTGAGCTCAGGTCACAGCAGTGAAATGAGGGAGGCCCCAGTTCACCAGTGTTTTCTTTTTAAAAGCATATTTATTTATCATATTTATGCTATGCTCGAAAGGGAGCCCCCTCGCCCTCTGCAGCAGGACTGGATTGGCTCCTGATTCTGTGATTAATCTGTGATTTTATACAGCCTTTTACGGTCCTTATTTTTAAAACCACTTCAGTTTGACTCTAACATGTGTTCAAGATGAGGGCACCGCTGGGAGCAGAGTTAGAGATCAAATTTGTTTTGTTTTCCCATTAAGCACTGAAACGTGCCCGCTAAAGACCAGTTCTTTGGTACGGGTCTCCGAAGGGATTTACTAGTCAATGTAAGTTGGAGAGAGCTGAGTAGAAATGTGGGGAACCACTAAGCACTGATACAGCAAAGTAAAAACACTCACCCGGATGTATAGACCTGACTGAAATACAGACAGCCTGAGGATGAGGAGGGGTGGCCAAAATATTAAAGGGAAGGAATTCAAGGGGTTCCTGCCAATGGACAGGCACTCGGAGCTGTTTTCATTCACATCAACAGCTCATCCTCCCAATTTGTCAGGAACCAAGCTGCCAAAGGGCAGATCAAGTTTCCAGCTGGTGGATGGACACATGAGGAGGGCAGTCTGTATTCAGCTTCTTTAGAATTTCATCCCAACTGTTAGGATATTTTAACATTCACACAGAGGAGCGAGACCTTTTGACTCGCCCTTTAATCTCTGTTTAGACGGCGCTTCACCCCATGCAAGTCCCAGAGAGCTTTCAGGAAGTAACCGCTTCCCATGGCTCATAGGGGAAATATGGGAACAGTCAGGCTTTCTAAAACCATTAAAAGTACTAGTCCTTTCCCTTTTAACGATCATAGGGCCTCAGCTAATCCACAGACATTATGATTTAGTGTTGGGCAATCCCTGCTGGAAGGAACAGGATTAAGCAATTATGCAATTGGCAGGCACAGTGTACACTGAGATCTTTTCTTACTAATTTATCAATTACTCTTCGGACGGAAAAGATACCTAACAATAATACTCTTCACTTCCGTAGCATTTTCCACCTGAGGCCCTCTAAATACTTGACAATCATGAGTGTATTAAGCCTCACGGGACATGACCATGCAGCCCATGGCAGTGAGCTCCCCACCCGGGTCGACAGACTTTGGGCTTGCAGGGCTCATGCTAGTGGTCCAAAAATAGCTGTGTAGACAGCGCTTTGAAGTTGCTGCTGAGGCTGGAACTCCAAAGCGTTTTCTATACAGATCTTTTTAGAGCGCTATCGTGAGTCCCATTAGTACAAGTCTCTTCACCCAGGCTGGGAGGTTCACTGCCCCAGGCTATGTAAACATACCCTTAATGACCCTATGAGTCTTGAAATAATTATATTCTCCATGTTCCAGATGGGATAAATTAAGGAGCCGCAAGATGACGTGACTTGCCCATGGTTACACAGTGAGTCTCTGGTAGAGGTGGGCACAGAACCCAGATCTTTTCACGCACTGTTCTGGTCTCAGACTGCTTGACCGTGCATCCTCCTCCAACATTAATGTCACTGTGATGTTAACCACACATCCATCCCTCCACAAATGCCTTCTCCCAGCCCACAGGCATCACGTTAAAGGTATTTATAAACCAAATAGCATAGTTGCAAGGAGAGTTCGGGCTGTTCAGTGTTATCAGCATTCTGACAGGAGGATAAAGAACACACCTAGGGCAGGGTCTCCAAAGTTTGGCTAATTATTATTATTTGCATTCCTGTAGCACCAAGGAGCCCTAGCCAGTGACCAAGGCCCCATTATGCAAGGTGCTGGACAAACAGAACAAAAAGGCGGTTCTTTCCCCAAAGAGCTTCCAATCTTAGACAAGACACAATGGATGGAGACAGACATGGCTGCAGCTTCCCTCCTGTTTATTAATGGAGTGGCCTATGTAGCCTGAATGCTCAGACCTGTGAACTCTGCAGCCTGCACCTCTATCTAGAAGACAAGGCTGGCTGCAAATTGCTGTTTTCCATAAGCTAAGGGAAGCCCCAGCTCTTGGCAGATTGGTAGTGAAGCCCCTTTGATTGGGCACAATTTAGGCACCCCAGCAAAACTTAGGGCAAGCCTGATAGTCCTTATTTATCTTTAGCCTGGTCCTGAGAATTGCAGAGAATCCTTTTAAGTCCTGACTCAGGTAGCCTTCTCTCCAGCCTTCAGAGGAGATTTCCCTGAGTAAGAACTGAATAAAAAATGATGGCCCAATTGTTTCCCTCAGAACTGTGCATGGGGGGCACCCTCTGCACCAGATGTTGCCCTTTCCATGGAGGACTGGACATAGTCCTGCTCGGTGCCCAGCTAAAGAGTAAACACAGTCTGAGGCTGCATTTACTGTTTCGTGGAGCCCCCTCTTCCATGCTTGGCATCTCCAAGGCGTTCCTGGGGCAGCTGCTTGTGGGGAACATTATGGAAATTGTCCAGAAAAGAGGGAGGGGGATCAACAGAGAGCCCAGCTCCCTTGAGTATCCTGTGAGAGCAGCATAACCCTTGGGGGAGCCATGAGTTCTGAGGGCCACACCTGCTGTTTCTCTGGGGAGCAGGCAGGCCCTGCCCTCAACACAAGAATTGGGAGGAAACCCCATAAAGGGAACCTCTCAGAGTTTTCCTCCCCTACCCATGCCCCACAGGAGGGGCGATCAGGCCTTGAATAAGGACCTTGACAACCCATAATGCATTGCCACAATATCAGACATTGGTGTCACCTGCAAAACCATGTTCTTGCCTGGCTGATTTTTACAGTTTAAGGCGAAAGAGCTCCTATTGCCCATTTCCAAATGTTGACTCACCCCTTAGCAAACATTAGACTGTTTCCTGGCAATCAGGCGATCCTAGCCTACACTGATTTAGGTAACCCTGATTAAAAATTCAGGTCTGACTGAGAGTAGACTGATGCCAATGGAAACATAATGCTTTGCTTCAAAAGTACATTGAACCACTAATCCACTGGGATATTTGTTTAATAGGAACAAGCGCCATTAAATAATGCATCCATTAGGCCTGTAGAATGAATAATTTAAATGCAGATCTCTCTCTCTCAAAAATACATGTTTTTGTGCCATTGCAGCATGCTCTCTGAAGACCAGGACTGACCAGGAAGGATTATCATTATCTAAACCTCTGGGAAGGAAATGTGTGAAGAAGAGGGGGGAAAATCCTTCATTCCAGACTGTTAGATTTGACCCCCCAAGTCCCTCTCCAGAGGCAAGTTGCTGGTGGATGAACAAATAGTCCAAAGTTAGCACATCAAAGTGGTGTGACCAGATGTGCAAAGTTATTTATTTGAAAAAGAATCTTGGTATAGAGCAATGCACACCCTCCTATGCTAATGTACGGTGGGGTCTTGGTCCTTAGTGACCGACTTTACTTTCTCTCGTATGTAGAGGGTGCCCTGAATCCATGGGTGTTCCCTGGTTGAACTTAGTGACACAAAACCAACTGTTTACAGCACATGGTTCATGGCCTCATCCTAAGCCCGGTGAAGCTAGTAGTCTGACTCCCATTGACATCATGGGGCTTTGGATTGGGCCCTGAAAGATTTGTATAATTTAAAATTGCCTCAGCATATAATCATACTAAATAACGAATGTATGGTCCGTTTTTATCTGCTATAGAATCACCCTGAACCTGCAGTTCTTTCCTTCTGAGTCATCCCGAGCTTTTCCGTCTTTCACCTGGGTTATTTTTTTCCAACATCTGAAGGCTGATTTCAATCACTTGATTATGAAGGGATTCTCTTGTCCCATGTTGTGAGTCTATGTGCATTTCCTCCAAACGATCTCTCACATCTGTTGTCTTGTATTGTTGAGCCACCTTGCATTGTCCCCCCTCCTGCTTTGAATGTGCACTAAGCATATTTTCCTCTTCCGCGCTGTGTCTATAAGCACATTTTCTCTTTTTTTTTTTTTTTCTGGCAAAGTAGGTGCATTTTAGTCGATGTGCTTGTCAGTCCATTTTTTACAGTGTCTCTAGCAAATCAGTTCATCGGATTGTGCCCCACTTCATTAGTGTTTGTGTTTAATTCACCAACTCATCTTGCCGCTATCGTTTGTATGTCAGCGCACTTATCAAAAGACAGATCCTGCCACCCTGGGCGATGCTGAGTAGCATCGGACTAATAATACAACGGCCTGCTCGCAGAGTGAGGTACTGCTCAGTAAGAATGGGGATACATCTACACAGCCCAGGGTAGAGAACCTCTCAGCCTGGGTCAGCACCCTCCAGCTAGCACTAACAGTATAAAAATAGCTGTGTAGACAACGCTTTGGAGTGGCAGCTTGGGCTGGAGCTTGGAGTCGGAAGCCTAGGGAGGTGGTGGGCTTGCTGCCAGGGGCTGTGTAGATGCACCCTAAGGAGGGCAGGTTCTGCCTCTAAACAAATACCAGAATGCAGGACAATACAACTGCACTTTCTTAGCTGAAAACTTAAGAGAACAAATTTGTTTTTTTAAGCAAAATAATCCATGCCCCAGAAGGATGAAGTGCAGTAAAGGTTAACATGGAGGGCCACATCCTCCACTGGGGTACGTCATTGTAGCTCCGTTGACTTCAGTTATTACTACGACTTCAATTTACACTCATTCTCCTCTGATTCGCAATGGTGTAACTCAGGAGTGAATCCACTGAAAAGAGTTGGATTTTACCAGTATAAAACAGGCATAAATGAGAAGAGAGTAATGCCTGGAATGAATACAGCTACGCTGTTGCAAAGGAATAATCTTCAGAAACCTGTGCCTGTCAAAGCAGACATCCGGCAACAGAGTGTATTTTCTGTGCACTGAGATTAGGTTTTTAACAGAATTGTACTGTGGGGTTTTTTGTTTGTTTCTGCCTTCATGGTGGCCAATTTCTGTTTTTCATTGAAGTCAGTGATGTAAATTCTGTTCTGAATGACACTAGTATAAATCTTGAGTCATTCCACAAAGTTGATTGATTCACTCAGGATTTACACTGGTAGAATTTGCCCAATTAGGAGTTTGTATGCCACTGACTTCAGTAATCCAGGAACTGCCCCATTCTGAGCACTTCTTAATGATTTTTGGATACTGTTTCACTGATTACAAATGTTTTGTAGCTTGCACTATTATCAGGTGTAAAAAAATTGTCATTGAGAGGCAGAATAAAATTGGTTTTAACTAATCATGTTCACACTGGTGTGTGGAAAGTGTCTTTCCTAAGGTTCCTTGTCACTCATTTTTTTATTATTATTATTTTAATGATTAGTTTGTCTTTTTCAAACCACTTCGGAGAAATTAGGTCTCAGAATAAAAGGAACCTGGCCAAGAACAAAGGGTGGCCTGGCTTAATTGGTGCTGCTCACGCAGTCCAGGGTGAAGAGGATCTTCTGTTTTCAGAGCAGATGTAAGTTTTAATTATTGCAGTATAAAATAGTCCAGTAAAAGATCAACACCACGACTAGCCAGTAAGGGTTGAACTCTGCTCTGTCATTCTAGTGTAAATTCAGAGTAAGTCTACTGAACTGAGAGGAGTTATTCCTGGTTTACACTGGGGTAAGCAAGAGCAAAATTTAGAGCTAAGTGCCTGTTTTTCCATGTGTAGCAACAGTCTCGAATGGTGGCACCTAGCAAGACTGACAGAAAAGAAAATACCTAGTTTAAAAACCTTGGGTCAGATTTTGCTCTCATTTTCAAGGGTGTAAACCTGGAATGGAGTTGTACCTGATTTCTCCTGATACATTTTGGCCAATTAAAGTTAACGTGTTCAGAGGTCACCAGTGATCAGCGAGCAGCAATGGTGAATGTGTTCAGGGAGAATGGCTAATGAGAGAGCTGCAGAAAGTCCCTCAATAAACAATAAAGGTTAGATTCCAGTAAATCCAGAGTAAACTCCATTGACTTAGTGGCGTTAGCCCTGATTTACACCCGTGCAATGGAAATCAGAATCTGGCTCTAACATTATAAAATATTAAAGTGCAGTGTTGTGAACAATCTGAGCCTTTGCTTCTCTGCTCCGGGGCCTTGAGGGCAGATTTTCAGTCACCTAAAGGCGCAGCTGGGTGCCAAGTGTATTCTCAGACTTGCCTAAGCAGGATTGCAATCAGTGGGATTTAGGCACCGAAGCTGCATACGTGCTTTTGAAAAACCTAGTAGGTGCCCATCTGCAATTTTTGGCACCTAAATATATTTGAAAATCTGTCCCTTAGTGTAACCGGGAGTTGAGCCCCCATTTCTGCAGTGATTATGAAGATAACAAAGGGTGCTGACCTACAGTACTATGGATTTGTATAAACACACAGACTTTTATATTAAGCCACTTCAATCGTGTGAAAGAGAGAAAGGAAGAAACCCTGCAATTTGGTGTTTCTAAGTTTTGCTTTACTGATATCTCTGCTCTTCATTTATTCACGTATGGTCAATAAAGCTGTGCCTGTCCTAGGATTTTCCTCCATGTTTGACGACTGGTGTCAAACACAGCTCCCCCAGCAGCCCCACGCAGCTGATGTCAACAAGGACTGTGCTGCTGCCGGGCTGGGTCACTCAGGTTCAGTGCCTCTTTTAAGAAAGTGGGACAGACTCTGATGGAACAACTGGTCAAGCACATGGGTCTTGACATAGTTTGAACCTATCTACACCAATGAGACAGCAGCTTTCAGCAATGGGTGAAGGGAGTGGGTGGAGTCACGTTTGACAGAAGAGGCTGAAAATATGAGGCTAGTGCCTGCTTCTCCCCTGC